ATGACGATACGTATATACAACCTTTCATCTCCCCGTTCGACCCGTTTGAACCCTTTTTTCGCATTAAAACCTATGTCCTTTTTCAGGATCTAAGACTATCTGTGTACCAAATTTAATTTAAATCGGTTAAGTAGTTTTGACGTGAATGCGCGACAGATAGACAAGAGATACTTTTGCATTTATAGTATTAGTAAGAATTAGTATGGATTAATTGATAATATAATACACATTAAAAGATAGTGCAGAAGCTAACAGTATTGCGTCTATTTTGACCCTTCCGTTTCTTCACAGGAAACTGTGTTCATTAAGAATATATTTGTTTATCTATAAACCGATAGATAACAAAAACAGATGACACTTGTAAGGTCATATCGTACACAACATGTTGTTTACGTCAATCATAGTCGTCATGGTATACAATAACAGTTTTTTTTATGAATAAAATGGAATGGTGCGGCGGGTGCCTGTGTTAACGGTTTACTCTGGTGGGGCACCAGTGGAGCTTAATAAAATGAGCATGAGAGCATGAGGTCAGGTCAGTTAGCTCATTGTGACAAATTCGCCTGGAATTTATCACGATGATTTTCACGAGAAACCGCGTGAAGGTCAACCTAACATGGTACTATACTAGCAATGAGATAATAACAAGGTTGCCAACCTTTTTTCTAAGGAAAGGACTTCAAAAATCTAGGATATTTGTCCTCCAATCTCGTATGTAGATTTTTTATAAGACTAGAATGGCAAACAATGCGTTACCTTCTGGAAGACTAAGATATTTTTCCCCCGCACTTCTCCGCCATTTTTAGCAATTCATTCAGAGATTTCATAGAAGTAGTTGTCTGCATATACAATCCCGCCTCACTTCAAACAAATTTTTACTATAGCTATAGCTTATATTTTAGAAAAATTCGCTTCAATTCAATTCAAACGTAGATCGAAATTACGACAGCCTGAGCCGATGTTTGGACCCCTAGCGGTGCCCTCAGACGAAAGTCACGTAAAGTACGTCAGGTACAGATTTGGCCTTCAGCCGCTTCATAAGTCCTTCCGTGAGTTTGGTGTGCCTGCGCTCATCCTCTATCGTCGGGTGAAGCTGTATAGGCCAACTGCGGCCCACAGCATTAGAGTAGTATAAAAATCTGACTGTAATGACATTTATTTGCCAGAACGGCGATGTTAACTTATGTAAAACAGTGTTCATTGCTCTATGGTACTAGTATTATTGCCGTATTGTTTCTTGAGTTATAACGTATTTGTGCTAAGTATATTGATGTAATATCAGACCTTATCTAATATGATGTTTACAAAAAAAAATAGGTATATATTTACTTTAAATTTACTATATAATCATTAATCACAACCGGGTATAATCACTGGTATTTACTTATACGAGTATGGAAGTATATGTGATAAGATAATAGAGATATTGTCGTATTTGTAAAATATATAATTCTTTAATCAGGGTGCTATTATGTAGGTACCTACTTGATTGCGAAAATACCTACTTGCTATACTACCCTAACCTATTTACTATATTATATCATATGCGCTGTAGCATGGTGCAGGTGACATTTACTAATTGTGCATTTAATAATTGCTACATTTAAGTTAATTATAAATGTGGTACAGCTGAAATACTAAGTCATAATTTGTAAATAGCCGCAACTTTTAAGAGTGAAACGAAACTTAACTTATTTTTACGTATAACTACATTTATTTATATAAAAAGTCGCCTTTGTCGCGCCTTTGTGGGTACTTCAGTCTCATTTATTTTATTCAGCCACCATTCATTTTTATAATCAGTGTTTTGATTCTAGAGTGCATTTACGCAGTGCTCCTCAAGTATATAGGCGTCGGTCAACGCTTACCATCTGGTGGACTATGAGCTTGTTTGGTATTCAATTACATAAATTAAATACATTTTGCAATAAAGCTATATTCTGAAACTATAGCATTGGAACCACAAAATTAGGCTTCATAAGTCTCTTAGACTATGACTTAATGTCATTTAAGAATTTATAAATACTATTTTTAATTTTATATACCTAAGTTGAGGTAATAATATATGCTGAGGGGTTAGGTTGACTTTATATTTTTTTCAAGTTCAAGATGCTGCGTTACATTCTGTTCTGGGTAATTTGATATGGATGATGAGCCGACTATACTCGGTGAATGATCGGTATTTGAAAGTAAAGCGATAAATGCTGAACTAAACAAGGATGAGACAACTTCTAATTAACACATAAACATCGGCCCATAGGTACAACTGATATTATTGTTACTAGAAACCCGTCCCGGCTTCGCGCATGCATGATGCATTACAAATCTTTGAATTTCTCGGCTTGTTCTATACTATAACACGCATGAATTATACTTATAAACCTTCCTCGTGAAGCATAGTATCTATTACTGAAAACTTTAAAATCCGTTGCGTAATTTAAATGATTTAAGCGAACAGATAGCAGCGGCAAATGTCTTAAATATACTGTGTAAATATTTGTAATTGGTACCTATAGCAAAACCTCAGCTTCTCACGGGAGCAAATATAAAAGGACCCTCCAGTTATTTTTCAAAACGACGTATTTTTACTCATTAAGAAAATGTAAGCTTCTTAGTAGCGTTAGTTGAGGATTTTGGGCTATTGTAAGGTATTTTAGACCTGTAGCCTGCGTATATATATTGTGCTCGCCCTGAAAGTTTATTTTTAAATTTGTTTTAATTGTTTAATCAAATGAAAAAAGTTTATTATAAAAATAATAAATATTTAAATAATTTTTCCATCTATATACGTCTGTCATATATCTATTTGAAATAGTTGTTGTTTCAGAGTAATATTAAACATCATTTCATACAATCCACTGCAATGAATAAATATTGCTTCGCAAACAAAACGTGTGACTGTATTTATCAACGGAATTGAGTAAAGTTTACGATAGTTTTACGACATTTTGTGAACGCATGTACGCCGTGACGAGATTACAGTATTGTGAATTTACTTCGACGTATAGTGTTCTAAATATGAAATGCTAAACTAATATTATAAATTTAAATTTACTTATTTTATTTACCAAGTTGTGAAAGATGATATGGTAAGAAAGGGAGTAAGTAACGAGATGACTGCGAACAGGGATGAATGGAAGAGAAAAACTTATTACGCCGATACCAGATAAATGGGATAAGAAGAAGCAGGTGATGATTTACCAAAGTGTTTCACATTACTAATACATTACTATATATATATATATCTTCTTAGCCCGGGCTGAGATCTCCTCGTAAGTATAATTAAATACTTGTGATTGGAGATCACGCTCTTCTAGGGTTATTTATTATTATGATAAAAAATTGATTGTCCTTATAAAGAGCTAGAGTTTATATGCTTGTTTGTTCGGGGTAATCTCGGGTTCTGCTGATCCGATTTTAGAAATACTTACACTGGTAGAAAGGTTTATTATCCCTGAGTGCTATAGATTATATAACATCACGCTACGACCTAGAGCGTAGCAGCAATGAAAAATGTAGCAAATAATATGCGTTTTGAGTGCTTCCGCTGCTTGCGCTGCGTAAATGGTTAAAATTACACAAAATGAATGTACCGATAAAGGAATTGTTCTCCTTTAAAAGGTCTAAAACTTATCCGCAATAACATATGTTTATCGTTTGAGGTTAACTCACATTGTTTATGGTTATCAAATTTCTTCTAAAATAATACATTGTTCGAAGGTGTTCTTATAAACGTTATTTATCATATTTAATTTCGAACAATATTGTCCTTTACATAGTTTGATTTCAACGAACACTTTAGGAGATATCTTAGTTTTAAGAAAAGAAGAACTTCAACTATTGAACCCATGTAAAGCCTGTGGCGGTGTGCTAGTTATTTATACATTTCGAGGTAGCCTTTGTCGAAATTCGTCAGCATTAGTACCTCAGTGTCACCACTAAAAAAATACAAAATATCTTTATTCATGTAGGTCTATTACAGATTCTTATGATATGCCAAATCTACCGTCGGTTCGGAATGATTTCGAGATGAGAAGAACTGACAAGAAACTCAGCTCGTATTCTTTTCAAATAAATGTTGTAAATGTTTACAATAATACAGATTCAGTTTTAAATTCGAATTTGGGAAACCTTATTCCCTTTATTTTTTTTATTGAAACACAACATAATAATTTGCATGTCTACTATTAAAACCAACACTATGTTGTCACTTGTCTATCTTATATAAGAATTGTAATGTTTTTACACATAAATTATTATTTTTTTATTAATAGCATCCAAGTGTCAGACGGACAATGATAATTTACATTATAAAATGTTTATTTCTTTCAAAACAATTTACACTGTGTCTACTATAATAATAATAAAGTTCGCTGTTACCTACAATTTGAATATGATATTTGATCAATAGACGCATTTGTACGAAAGATGGTAACTGCAAGTCTCGTGGTATTAGTTTAGTTTTGATTTTGAATAAAGGAATGCCAGTAAATTTTGCAGTTTTAATAATAATAATCTCAGGACAATGCACACAGCCCCATCTAGACCCAAGTTAAGCTAGCTAAAGCTTGTGTTATGGGTACTAGATAACTGATACATATACATAATTTTTTTTCGTAAATACATACATATTTCAGAATAGAAAACACCAAGACCGACACAAACAGTCATAGTCATGAATACAAATGTCTGCCATGTGAGTTCGATTGAACCCGCGACCATAGGAAGTAAGGCGGTGTGCTAACCTTTAGACCACAGGGACTTTTAGTTAATTAGTTTTGTTACATACGGTTTACAAACCAAAAAGATATAAATTCTTGTTATAGCGAATAAAACTGGAATGTTGCGGGCTTAACTATTAAATAAATATTGACAAGACAATGTCCTCAAAGATTATAGGAAATATACAATATTACTATTTAATTAGCGTATTGTTATTACTGTACATTGCTGTTTGGACCTTGAGCCAAATAAATAAAGTTATGTTTCCATTGTTTCAGCTCAAAAGACGATGAGATTGATAATAATTGCATAGTGCGCGCCCGCGGCCTCCCCTGGCAATCCAGCGACCAGGATATTGCTAAGTTCTTCCGGGGTCTCAATGTGGCCAAGTAAGTATTAAAATATAGGTACTAAACGGAAGGTTGTCAAAGGATTTTGGCACTAAATACACACATATTACAATTCAATATTTATAAAAAAAAAGACCCGTTAATGTTCTTTATTTATTCACGACATCGTAATGAGGCGTAGCTGGTTAAGGTTTCATGAAATGGCCGCAGAAATTAGAATGACTTTTTTAGAGAATATATTGTTAAATGTGAGCGAGCTTACAGCTTAAACAATTTTTAATAGGTGAATGAAGTAACTCCTGAAATGGAAGGGAAAGTTTACAGTGGCTTGGCACTAGTGGAGGATGATAGTGGATGACAAAACGAATGAAGTCAGATCAGTTAGTTGGTCATCCCATCCCATCATGGTCAAACCACCAGGAATTCCTGGTGGTTTGACCATGACGCCATGATTTTGACCATGTAAACCATCCTGGCTAATTAGCCAGGATGGTTTACATGGGGCCGGCGTGGAGATTAACCTGACATAACATTAATAGCATATGGAGTCACTAACTCCCATTACTAGCAATCCCTTCTCCCCTAGGTGACGTTATTAAATATTAAAATACTTAACATTTTGTCGTTTGATTATGGTTAATAGATTGTTCACAATATATACACGCCGAGAAACTCGCGGACACGAAATAAATGCGTTCCAACTAAAATTTATGAATATCAACATGGTCTTATAGCAGAAAGGATTTTCTAGACAATCCTAATGAAAGTTTATAAATGAAAGCAAAGATAATATAAAATCTAATGTAGTTATTACAAGTCTGTTTTTTGTTTGTTTAGGGGTGGAGTAGCTCTATGCCTCTCGCCTCAAGGTAGACGCAACGGCGAGGCATTAGTTCGGTTCATATCTCAAGAGCACAGGGACATGGCTCTCAAAAGACATAAGCACCACATCGGCCCGAGGTACATTGAGGTGAGTACATACAATTATGGACCTTAGACACTTCCCACTAAGTACGATTTCCATAACTGTAGCCATTCCATTTTAAATATCGCAACCATCTTGAGAACTCCGAACGAAGACATAAGCACCACATCGGCCCAAGGTACATTGAGGTGAGTACATACAATTATGGACCATAGGACTCTTCATAATAAGAACAAACTCCATAACTGTAGCTATTCCATTTCTTTAGAACTCCTGACTTCTCCCATTCCGTACCAGTTAACTCTAAAATATTTCTAAAAATAAACAGAATATTAATCAAAGTCGCAATTTTTTCACGCTTACCCACCAGTATTCAGGACACTTCGTCAGGAAAAAAAGGTAAAATTATTTGCGTTCTATAATTTATATTTTGAACAGTCATAGACTGGTTGTCGACCAGTCAACATTAGACTCCAAACTGTATTCATTACCTTGTTTATAGGTGAAACATTGGTCGCAATATGGGTGTATCTGATAACTCCGATTACTTGTAAAAGCCTGTCAGTGGCTTAGTAGGTATGTTTTTATATTGATTCAACATGTGTTTAATCAGCCATGTTTACCTTTAATAAATAAATAAATATAATAACGGCTTCAAGGGACTGGTCTATTCGGGTTACGGACACGGAAAATATATAATAAAGATTAATAGAAGAAAATATACGATAAATGATTAAAGGAAATATTCCTTTTGATAAAATTGCAGTAGTATATGCTGGTGATCACGCTGTTCTTCCAAATTTGAATTTAGAAATGAATCTTTATTTTTGTAAACATGTACAAGCTCATTTGAAAAGAACAAGAGCTGCGTCTTGTCAGCTCTTGTCAGTTCTTCTCAGCTCGAAAGCTCCGAACTGACGGTAGATTTGACATGTCATAAGAGTCTGTAATAGACTTACATGAATAAAGACTTTTGAATTTGATTTTGAACAGTCGGAGTCTGATCACTAATGGAGAAAGTTATATTGCTTCCAGTGGCAGTGTTCAAGTTTCCGCATTGAATATTTGTGGTCTCCGACATGCAGATTAGCATGTAGTGGAATTACACATCCATTAAGTAAATGACAGCCTCGATGTTCTAACGGTTTAGTACATCGATTTACTATCGATAGTCGCGGGTTCAAATTCAAATTCAAAAATCATTTATTCATGTAGGACATTTTAGCTGCTTATGAACGTAATTTTTTTTAGTTTATATCATAATTCTTTTCCTACCGTCCAAGTTCTTACATGGTGCAAACATTTGTACTCATGAGCATGGTTGTTTGTATCGGTCTGGGTGTTTTCTATGTATTTAAAAAAAAATCTTAAGTATTTATTTGAGTTGTCTAGTACCCATAATACAAGCTCTGCTTACCGTCTGCTTTATCTATAAGTAATGATATGAACTTCCGCAAATTAAGGCCTAATTATATAAGATATAAATAAATAATGTTACCTGAACAGGTGTACCGGGCAAATGGAGAGGACTTCCTATCAGTCGCTGGCGGTGCAACGTGTGAAGCGGCGGCTTTCCTAACGCGGGGTGCGCAGGTCATAGTTCGGATGCGGGGTCTGCCATATGATGCTACACCTCAACAAGTTGTTAGTATCTTAATAATATTATAACCGCGAAAGTGTAAGTATGGATGTTTGTTACTCTCCCTCGCAAAAACTACTGAACGGATTTTGATGAAACTTTACAGTAATATAACTTATGCATCAGAGTAACATATATTGTAGTTGAGTAGCTTTATTTTTTATTGAAATTTGTATATTTAAATTTAAAGTGAGTAAAACCACAGGCACAGTCAGTAAAATTATAAATTAATAACGGCAATTATTCATAATTTGGCGGTTCGAATCCTATCTCTTAAATAAAATTGAAGAGTCTTTTTGTATTTCATATTATGCTTTTCACTAAATATATATATATATACAGTACTTAATTTTTTTTTCTGTGACCGTTTGTTCTTGCTAATGTCTGAAATGGCTGGTCCGATTTTTACGGAACCTTCATTCGCAGATAGCTTAAGTTACTGATATTTTAGAAAATATACTTAATTTAATAAACAGATTAAATTCATGGATGGGCTACAAACACATAGGGTGTGTACTGGCGTTTCCTCTTCTGCTTGGCTGATCTTAACTAAATGATTATTATTATTTGCCAGCTGGAATTCTTCTCGACCGGCGACGATCCAGTTCAAGTGCTAGACGGTGCGGACGGGGTGCTCTTTGTAAGAAGATCAGATGGTCGTGCAACCGGGGATGCGTTTGTTCTATTTGCAAAGGAAGATGACGCGCCAAAGGCTCTCTCTAGGCACCGGAAGTTAATCGGCTCAAGATATATTGAGCTGTTCCGGTCTACCACAGCAGAAGTACAACAGGTAAGTCATTTGTTTTCTTTTACATCGCTCAACACCGGAGCCCGGTCGTCCCTCCGATTGATCTCCCGTCCAATTCAAACGGGGATCGAAATTCAAGTGCCTGCTTGAGTCGAGGTTCGAATCCCTAGCAGTGCCTTTAGACTAAAGTCGTATCCGTCACACAAGAGTTGGCCTTCAGCCGCTGCGTTAGTTTTTCCGCAGGTTTGGAATGCCATCTGCATTAGTCTCATATCATTCGGTGAAGCTGTAGGCCAGCTGCGGCCAACCGTATATGTATATTTGTGGTGTATGAAAATAATTATAGGTATTTTTTATAGTCAATAATGGAATGTTGCACTCGCCTACGCTAACGGTTTACGCTGGCAGGGCACCAGTAGAGGATGATACAAAGAACATGAAGTCAGATCAGTTAGCCCATCTTGGCAAATGGAAACTTACCACGATGCTTTCCAGGGGGAACCACGTGGAAATCAACCTGTCATGGTACATTGCTAGAAATGGGATTATTAGTCCATATTAGTAACAATTCCCTCCTACCCGATAATTTTAAGTATATATAGTTTTGTCATATATGTTTATTTAGATTATAAAATTAGGACACCTGCAATACAATACCTGGAGTGTCACGCGCTGTCACTTGACGCTCCTTGACCTTTCACAATGCTATGCAAATAATACAATTGAATGGAAACTGACACTGAATAAAATTAATTCATTTTGCAATTAGGTCCTTAACGACACTTTAATGTCATCAGTTTATACCTATATATTTCAAATTACACTATTGCAATCTGAAACCAACCCATTGTTGGTTTCAGATTGTCACATTCATTCTTGGTTCATCTTTTTGGCATAAATATGTGCTTGTCTATTTGTGTGTTAAGGTTTCACGTAGACATCAGTCATCACAAATTAAGAATTTTACAAAATATATTATTAAATGGTTCAAAATATTATTGTACGCTACAGATAGAAAGATATAATAATTATTATCGTGAATATAATAAATACGTTATTTTCTATTTTATTCACTAAAATTATAGATAGTATCATAGTATGTAGTAGTAGTAGTAGATTGTATCATAATATAGTAACATATATATGCTTTATATATTGTTATTTTGTTTGATGATGTCGCTACAATTCTGGCGCCCTCGGTCGCCTCGCATTGACCAATCCCCTGGCTAATTCAAACCCGGTTCAAACAAGGTTCGAACCCCAGCAGTGCCCTCAGACTAAAGTCGTATACGTCAGACAGGAGTTGGCCTTAGCCGGTACATAAGGCCTGCTGCGGGTTTGGAGTGCCATCTACACCCGCCCCCTATCGTTCGATGAAGCTGTAAAAGCCAGCTGCAGTCAACAGCATTAGAATAGTTACGAATATAGAGCTGCTATACATTCTCCACGACTCAAAGTATCTCTAAGCTGTAATACAAATTAAGAAGCCCCGGTCATATCATTACTTGCTGTTATAACATTATCATTTTCCGTTGAACTCTAGTTTTTTCTCGAGTATTGATACCCTTATCGGACGAACTGCAGTTTTTATAGAAGTATAGCACATTTATGTGTATAATGTAAACAAATTTATGAATCTAAAAACTCCAATAAATCATCTGAGTCATTTTATTACATGTTTGCTAGATATAATTGTCATTCTATTTACGTAACGAGTATGCCCCAAATAGCAACAAGCAGACGAACAGACAGACAAGCTGTTGTGCATTTATAATATTAGTTGTATCCGCGTAGAATAGTGAGCTTGACCAAATAAAGAAAAACAATCTACCCGCAAAATTTAAAAGAAAAAATTTGCATCGTTCTAGCTTCAAAAATGACGAATTTCCATACAAGCTTACATCCCCTATTTTGCGTCCTTAATGGTAACATTTTTACAAACTTTGGATGTCATATTTATCTATATTTAAGCAATTGCCTAAAAAAAAAGTTCTGTGCTAAGCCTCTAGGTAAACAAGTCTTTTTTAAATTGTTTAAAATTTGACACAAATTTATTTTCAATTTGTAATTGCTAATTTAATACTAAACTCCAACTTTATACTTACTTATAACGTGGAAAAGGTTAAATATTAATATACCAGCATAATATTTTATCTTAATGATTCAGGACCTTTGTACCCCCAGATCTGAGATTAGGTAACTGTAGGTATTATATTTAAATACAGATAATTAATTGCATGTTGACTGTGATATGCACTTTAATTATTTTAACCTTTAACTGTTGAATAATAATAAAAAACATTCATTGATCTCATGTTAACGGAAATAATGCTATACAAACTGGAAAGATTACGGATTATTACAAATCAAATGTTTAAAAGGAAAGCATGGCATCTTAACATATCATAAATATATATAAATCGTCAGGAGTAACAATGCATGACTGGTGACGGGTTTTTTTTATCGTGACTTCGTCCACGTGGAATTCAACTTTAGTTTTCTAAAATAAAAGTAGCCTAAATTACTGCTCAATATAAGTTTATAATATTGAAATAACCGTTTTTTACTACATGCATATGATTATAAATACGTTTCATATACCTACCACAATAACAGTTTATACAATTTTTGTCTGTCTGTCTGTTTGTTCCGGCTAATCTCTGAAATGGTTGGACCGATTTTGACGGGACTTTTATTGGCAGGTAGCTGATAGGCTTAGATTAATTTTATTTTAGAAAAATAAAGTTAAATTCCATGCGGAAGAAGTTGCAAGAACAAGTAGTATATAATATATAGGCGAGGGTTGACACTTTCCATCATGTAGCCCGTCAGCTTGTTTCCAGTTACGTATAAAAAAAATTTACCATTATGCTTTCTTAACTAAGCATCAAGTTTTATTATTCCTGGTAAAAAAATTACATTTAAAAAATTTGTATTCCCATAAATTGAAGCAATTAAACAGTTGCCAATAATATATAATAATATACCTGGACATATTACTATAATCTAACCGTATAATACGCAAATAAAAAATCATTTCTTTTCATTACAAACTCTTTTATGAATTGGCCTTGAGTTATCGTGCGTTGATTTACAAATCCCGCATTGGTTTTCATATCGTTTACTGCAATTCGATACGCTTGTGCAATAAAGAATTTCAACTAGTTATATTTTCACCAATACCCAATGTATAATTTCCACGTCATTTTATAATAATAATATGTAATACATATATCTTACAAAAAGCCACAATACCTGTCGCATTATTACAAAAATTCTGACATCCACAATAATCTTCACATAGCGCAACCTTTTCCACACTTAGCTAAGGCCCGTGTGGGTAAGTATTGCCTTCTTTTAGATCAGATAAAAGAAAAGAAAATAAAAGAAATCTAATAATAATAATAAATTAAAATAAAATATCTTTCGTCATCACATTCATCATCCTGATATAACTTTTAAACTCATCCACGCTTGACTAAGGCCCGTGTGAGTAAGTATTGCCTTCTTTTAGATCCGATAAAAGAAAAGAAAATAAAAGAAACCTAATAATAATAATAAATAGAAATAAAATTTCTTTCGTCATTACATTCATCATCCTGATATAACTTTTAAACTCATCCACGCTTGACTAAGGCCCGCGAGTTTCTTGTTATAAAACGTATATAAGTAATAATAATAATAACCCTGTAATAATCTACATTATATAAATACCTATATGACTACCGATTTTTGAATTGCTAGCAATGTACCAATTCAGGTTCACCTCCACGCTATTTCTTCTAAAAACTATCATGATAAATTCCTGGTGAATTTGTCACGTTGGTCTAATTGACCTGACCTCATGCTCATCTTATCATCCTCCACTGGTATTATATAATTGTTTTAACTCCTCTAGCAACTTGTTATATATTTTTATGGCCATTGGGTAACAATTTAAACTTGCTAGCGTTGACTTTATTAGCTAATTGATTTAGGACGTACTTAGTACTTGTGTTTCTCTCAAAGTCATTGGATCCTTTAAATAACTCAGGATGCGATTTAACAAATAGGCACTAGTTATAATGTGATATCCCTGTTGTTTTCCATGGCTGTATAGACGATGATTGTCACATACCATCAGTAGACCAGTAGTGACAGTAGACCGTCAGTCTGTCAGACAAACGAGCTTGCAGCTTACCTGATGGTAAGTGATTACCGCCGCCCATTAGCACCAGCAACACCAGGGGAATTGCAATTGCGTTGCCGGCTTTCTAAGTAGGAATGAACATTTTTCTTGAAGGTATATCGTATCGGTTTGGATATACCAATGCTGGGAGGATTTTCAACAATGTGATTGTTGTTGTTATACCATTCAAATTACATAAAACATTTTCGTTTTGTCTACAGGTCCTGAACCGATCGCTGGAGACACGTTCCAGTACGGCGAGTACTCCAACAGCAGCCCCGGCTCCCTCCGAGGGTCTGCTACCCGTGCTGGTGCCCCAACATGTGATCACATCGGGGACAGCCAAGGATTGCGTGAGATTGCGAGGATTGCCATACGAAGCGCAGGTTAGTATTTATTCCTATTTTATCTTAAATGACTTGATCTTTGCAAATGTATGGTTAGTGGAATGACGTATTGCAAAGTAAGTATAATAACTACCTTAAGCGTTCTTGGAACTAGACGACGCATTTATAAGTAAGTCAACTAAAACGTTTATGAATTTATAGCAGTGTACGGTCAATATATACATTAATACGTTATACATATATATATACTAGCTACTCACCCCAGCTTCGCACGGGTGTACATGTATTATATATATAAACCTTCCTCTTGAATCACTCTATTTAATAAAAAAACCGCTGCAAAATCCGTTGCGTAGTTTTAAAGATTTAAACATACAAGGGGACGGACAGACAGCGACAGCGACTTTGTTTTATACTAAGTGATGATATGTATAGAAAAAAGATTTATTGCATTTCATTTTGATTAAAATTTTATTTTTAAATAAACAATTGTAGGAGTTCACAGAACGACGTAAGATGATGGTGATGATGATAAGATATATATTTGTTATTGGAAATAATAATGTTCATTACAATCCTCAATTTCTTAAACTTCATTAATAAAAAGAATAAATGAAAACAATGGACTCGTTAATCAGAAAGCAATAAATAGTAACGGCGTGATATTTCTAACGTTATTTACAAGCGACTGTCTTTAGTTACTGTATTATAGTTCTATAAATAAAAAAAAGTTCATAAACTGATATTTATTATTCTGCATATTCCGATATTATACACTTATTACTATTATTTTTGGCAATAATATGGACATAGCATATTGTTTAGCCACAAATATATCTCTACACTTCTCAAAAGACTGGTATAACATGTTTTATTTTTATTTGTCCATAAAGCCAATAAATAAAATATACTATACTATAAATATACCTATGACACAGCTATATCAAGTAGATTAAAGACAAAATTGGAGTCGTGTCGTATCAACAACTAAGAGATTGATAGAAGATCGTGGAAAGTTGCAAGAACTTCATCAAAAGCGCGGCTATAAAATTATGAATGAATGTATCTAACCGTAAATATACAGAGATGAATTCATATTTCAAATCCTTGTTGCAGGTGGAACACATACTAACTTTCCTGGACGAATTTGCCAAAAACATAGTGGTACAAGGTGTACATATGGTTTATAATGCTCAAGTAAGTGATTATAGAATAGAATAGAAAATTCTTTATAGAAATTAACTTACATTTAAATTATTTGAATAGTCATAATCTTTTTAATTAATCTACCGCTCATTCGGAAATCTGTCTCATACAAGAAGAACGATTAAGAAGCTTGTCTTTGAAAGAGCAACACTCTTTTAAGTAATTTAGTTGTAACCCTAATTTTGAAGTTTAAATATGTGTAAACGAACTACCAAGTAACAGTAATTCATTAGAGTGAAAATAATAAATATACCAGTAACTGGTTGAGCAACTAAATAAGAGTAAATCAGTCGTAGTGATTGGAGTAAACCAGTCGCTACAAGCAGCACTCGTTCACTAGTAGGTATGACATAAAATCGTCATTATTCAATAAAATCTTGTTTCGATCATAAATTTATGTATCTATTTTTTTATTTTAAATATATTTAAAACGACAAACAGACGACAAACTTTGAATAAATAAATTATTTATTTGTAAATAAATAAATTCATTACAAATAAATTATTAATAATTCCGCACTTACGCAACAGGGTCACCCCAGTGGAGAAGCATTTATACAAATGGACAGCGAAGCCAGCGCGTTTCTGTGTGCGCAGCAAAAGCATCATCGGTACATGACTTTCGGCAAGAAGCAACGGTACATCGAGGTAAGTATCATGACTATTAAGTTAATGATAATTTATATTGTTAAACAGATCTTTATACGAATAATTTTATTGTAAATTAAGGTATTTATCCTTACTAATGAGGTATAATACGTTTATTGCAGGTGTTCCAGTGCTCGGGCGACGACATGAACCTGGTGCTGACGGGCGGCGTGACGCCGGCCACGTCCCCCAAGGTGCTCTCCCCCGGTACGTTGGTCCCCCCCCCTGCGGCGGCCGCGCCCGCGCCGCGCCTGCTCGCGCACCACATCGCGCACCAGAGCCTGCTCGCCCGCCAGCACGAGAACCTGCTCCTCGCCTCCCTGCGCGCCCCCGTGCTGCCCCTCCTCCCCTCGTACGCGGTGCGCCCCCCCGCGCCCGCCGGGCCCTACTCCCTGCCCCAGTTCCTCCCCGCGCAGCAGACGCTGCTCCCCACGAAGAGGACCTACGACCGCGCCTTCACCCCCACGGAGGCGCCTCCCGCTAAGCGCCCGTACACGCTCCCCCCTCCCATGGCTCCGGCTCTCTCCCTCCCAGTGCTCTCCTACGGCACGTCCGCGCCGATATTCTCGTACGCGAATACGAACTCTATGCTTTCCACGTACGGTAGTGGTCTTCCTACGGGTATACCCACCGCTCTGCCGGCAGGATACGGGTCTTTGTCTTCCGCGCTCCCGGCTTCTATGAGTGCGTCATTTCCTACGGCCACGCTGCCTATGTTCCCTACCTACCCGTACTACCCCGGTGTTTAATATAGTCTATCTTCACGGTAGAACCCTTGCAGGGTAGACAGAGACGGACGGCTTGTCTAAATGTCTTAAAATAGATCGCCTAGGCAGCGTAATTAAGACGTATGTTTAAAAGAGAAATTTACCATTGGCGCGTTGATATTTTAATTGTATAAAAGTAAATAAGAGAACAGTTAAAAGACTTGCGAATGATATGACAACGGTTTGTGTAGTTAATATTTAAACAGGGTATAAAATGTGACAACAGGCTCAAATAGTTTTTGAAACTGCCACTGTGTGCCTTCCCAATGATTTTCATGTTAAATCATCATGAATTTACGTCTTTATACTGACGGCAGCTAATGTATAGCACCTCGATATTTTAGGTTAGTTACGTGAAATCAAAGTGTTTTTTGTTGAATTTGTACTGACTTTAAATACTGTTGCACTATGTTTAGAATAGTTTTTAGGTATTTAAAAAGAACGGTTGTTAATAAATGACAATTTAGGCATATATTTAGCTTTATATATACTTCGTATATAGAGATCTATATAGAGATCATTTTATATTGTTGTGATTTTTAACCATAGACATTCCATTAGCTAAAAGACAAATATCGTCAAGGCTGAATGATAGTCTGAAAAATTATGTACTCGGAGTACTTATTTGAAAATATTAGGTACTTAAATATTATGTCGTTTTTTATTGAGTACAATGCACCTTTTGCTGTCAATTTACACTTTTTTTAGATCATACTTATATTAAGTTTACGTAGAACGTTATTGTTGCGTTTGTTTGTTTAAATCGATTTAGGAATTTCTACGTTTGCTTCGGTTATTCGCGATCGTTATTGGCACTTATCCTCTCCTGATATCCGATACCCAGGTCATATCTATATTGTTCACAACCTAACAATTTAAAGCATTTATATCCACCTAGCTTAATGTCATTATTCAATACCTCACACCACATAGTATATAGATAAATCAGTATTAAAAATCAGTAAAATATATATTGGACACATTTCTCAACAATCCTAAGTATATATATATTCAATTTCTAAAAACTACGAGTATAATTTCGATCAGAAAATACGTCAAATTGACAAAATATTGCTAAATAAATATCAAAAGTATGTTAAATTGACAAATGTATAATAGCTACATCAATAGCAAAAATATGATGTCAAATTGACAAATATAAAAATGCTTAACTAATATCGAAAGTATTATGTCAAATTACGTAATGTAAAATTGCTATTCCAATTGCAATTACAATTGCTAAACCAATAGTGAAATTGCCGACAGCAAATATGTCAACTTGCTAAAATAATACTAAAAAAAATATGTCACATTGACAAATGTAAAATTGCTAAACTAATAGCAAAATATTATGTCAAATTGACAAATGTAAAATTGCTATTACAATAGCATAAATATTATGTCAAATTGATAAATATTATAATGCTAAATTAACAATAAATATATGCAATGGAAATTGTTAGAAACGTGTTCAAATTCTGGTGTTTTGTATAATGGATCTCTTTAGAAATCCTTACAAAGTTAACTTTGTTGTTTATGGTGTTGCCATTGTCTCGGTATTCACAAACATAGGTATGGGGCTTCAGTCACAAAACACGGTGTAATGGCTAATCTTTGTTCTGTCATTTCTAAATTTATTTACATTTTGCCTCTTTGACAATACATGAAATAATTAACATAAAACATTTGTAGTTTACCAACGTATATCTACTGTACAATGTCGTCTGCGCGGGAAGCTCAGTCTAATTTCTGCTATTAATTAGTGTTCCTCTAAAAGTACAAGTTTTGCCATTTTAGCCATCAGCAAGTAATGAAGGATACCACAGGAATGACATACCGATGTGATTTCTGAAGTACTGTTCATGAACATTAGCCACGTTTGTCATTTTGAGTTTGCCATAAACATAAATTGTCAAAGTTGCAAACGTACAAACTAGTTTACAATGCAATAATGTGTTTATTAATAAAAACAAGTGTTGTAATAATTTGGATGTGTATCCGAACCGGTTGTGTTATGGAAAATGTGCATGACCGTCGTTGTAACTGAACGGTAAGTGTGGCACTTTATGTTTAAAATGGTCTTCACGTTTCGTGAACGAATCTGGGTGTAGCATGGGCCGCTTACGTTTTATTGGTAAGGTATTGCATGGTATCAATATAAACCGGGTTATACAATGAATTTCGCTTGTACTTTGTCGTTTTCCAGAGCACACTTCGTCCGGATACATATACAGCGTATAGGTACTATGTTACTGTTTTCATAATGTACACGATAGCTTATGGTGTTATGGATTTTATAGTCGATTTTGTATTGAAATTGGCTTTGATGTAACTATTTATTATTTAATATATATATTTTATAATTATATATATTCTGAACAATACAGATCGACTGAAACTTATATTTTTGGATGACTTTAGGGGTATTTTGTATGGTTATATTTGTTGTCAACAAGTCAACTTATAAAACATAACAGTTATGATCGGTCAGGGGTAACCTGGTCTCCTCCAGTCATTAACACGCATATGTACTTACACAGCTTCTATTCTGCTGCTCTGTGATATCTTCTCTTTGCTTTCAATATTTCGTTTCCTACTTCAATGAACAAATTCATATTCCAATGATATTTAGTGCATGCTTATATATTTTACATACCATATATTCACAAATACAGTATTTTTTTTTGTATAATGAAGTTCTACAAAATATTCGACACTCTCGTATATATTTTATTTATTTATTAGACATTTGTTTAATGAATAAGTAATAATGAAATTTATTACAAACGTAACAAACACTATTTTTGATTGTTAATTTAATAATAAATTTTTCTAAACATAGAAATGTAAATATCATGTAGGTATATTTTATATTGCCGTTTTGTCTTCAAATTGTTATACAAAAAAAGTACAGTTACATAAATAAATTTGTTATGTAATAAATAAATTATTACTCACTGTAAAAACGATGATATGGTGAAATTGCGCTGAATTTCATTGAAATATTTGCGTATTGACTGGGGGACCCGTGGTGTGAGGATTTCACGACCTATAAGAAAAGCCTATTGCTATAAAAATATGTAATTATGGACTATATATAGTAGATATTTTTTTTTATATATATATATTCTCGTAATGGAAACCACCTATAATGATTTAGGAATTGGCAATGAATTAAATATGGGCTATATATTTCAGATTTTTTACACAAAATAAGTCCTGAATTACATATCTTTACATAGATTGTTTATTTACGAATTTAGTAAAAATTATACATCTAATGAAATTAGTAGATAATGCTAAGATATTTCGGAAATCGGTTTACGAAGCTTATGTCTCACCTTGTTAGTTCATTAATGAGTTTCTTTTTTATTATAATTTAGTTGGCTAATTATAGTTTATTGCGTACTTTGAATAAAATGATAAATTACGTGTTAGATCATATTTATTGCGAGTTTCTTTGGTATGTGGTTGCTTTAGCGGTGGTAGGAGATGCGGAATTGAAACTTATTTCCCTTCTCATTAAGTCTTAAATTTGTCAAACAAATAATTTAGTTAACAAACCTCATTATTCATAAAACTAATAGTTACAAATCTATTTTAACTATTACAGTATTTTGTCACTATCTTTCATATACTGAAATGTGTTTGAGAGAAAAGGACTATCGATATTGTAATAGCTAAACAAATTTCAATACATATTATTGACCTATTGAGTGATTCAAGAAATTTTATATGTAGGTATAATACATGTACACCCGTGCGAAGCCGGGGCGTGTGCTAGTTTATGAATAATGAGGAAATAATTAACGGGCTTGTACTAAAGTTTATCGTGACATGTATCAACATGTTTCAATGAAATTGTAGTTTAACTAAATTGAAATATCTCCTACCACTACTGAAGGTTGGTTGTGCTATTTACATTCTATACAAGGCTTCATTGAATAGAAGACAACTTGTGAAGGAGATTACTAACTCGTTAATTTCCTTATCAGAGTTAATGTTAGGCCATCCTCTGTTTACTAACACTTTCTATACGGTGAATGGGTGAATCGTTGTATGTCCAATTAATTTACCATTATATTAACTATTCGTTGTCAGAGTTAAATACCGTATTATCATCATCATTAGGTACGTGTCTATAATTTGTGAAATTGGATTTAAATATCTGGATTTACGAATTCATATAAACCTATTTCTTTAAGTAACAAACATAAAACCATATAATAATAATGACTTACTTGCTTTCGGCCCGTAAGTGTGGTAAAAAACCAGCAAGAGATGAGAAAATGTCACAATAGTGATAATAATAATTTCTCAGTAGGTACAATTCATACAGCGCCATCGCCATAGACAACTGATATATATACGTAGGTACCTACATTGTTTTTGTATATAACATAGATTTGTTTGTAATTACATACATAATATATATAGAAAACAGCCAGACCGATACAAACAATCATACTCATGTTTGTACCGTGCGAGGAATCGAACTCGCGGCCATCGGATGTAAGGCGGTATGCTATACCACTATGTAGGTACATATTTGTATCAGTTATCTAGTACCCGTAATACAAGTTTTAGCTTAACTTGGGACTAGATGGCGCTGTGTGTATTGTCCTGAGATTATTATTATTATTAATTACGGCATGTTACTTAATTGTAATATGATACATAATGTATTCACTGCTGTTTCTGAGTTAATATTCTTATCACAGTGTATTATATTGCACATTTCCTATAAACTAAGCTACGATATTTAGGTGAATATGAGGTGTATATGAATCACTTAAAATACACACATCTATAGTAACTCATTAAATAAATATTTTAGTTCTATCGAATTATAGAATAAGATCTATATTTATGATTACGGGTTATCTATTAATTACGTCATATGTTAAGGTCGACGAAGTGTGACAAAGTGTGACAATAGGATGAGAAGGGATCTAAATTTATGATGTCACATTTACAAATCTAAAATATAATTGATTGATAAAACAGTAATTCAATAAGTTAAAGAGCCCCTTCCTTAACGTAACAATTACGCCGACAAAGTGTGATATTGTGTGACAAGAGAGTGAGAGGGGTCCTAAATATGTGCCATCACATTTAAAATCTAATATCTTAAAACACGAAATATGAACTGTTAATGGGAATAGTTCAAATATATAAATATGTGACGTCACACTGTGACATCGACTGGGGGAGGGGTGATGTCCTCTCCCCCTATCTTTGTCACAGTTTGTCACATCACTGAAGTATGATGTAATTTATGTATGATCTCTTACTTTATGCTTATGATTCAGGCATAGCTATATGAAACATTCTATAACATACTTATTGTAAAAAACCGGTATTATATCGATATTTCCTTCACAAGATAACAGATAAAATAGCACAATCATTTCCTCTATCCCGCCTCCTAACTTAGCTTCATTAACTACACCTGTCATTGTACGAATTTATAAATCTTACTCTGAAAATTTTAAAATAAAAATATATAATATATGCAAGCACAATATGGCTTCATCTGTGATAATAATACGAATATTAAATGAACAATAATTCTTGAAATCAACTACAAACTGGCGAAGTGCAATATTTTTTAATATTCATGAATTTAGTATCAGTCATATTGGGTTAGATTTAATAATTTTGGTGTATTATTTATTGTAATTTAACAAAATGATTTCAATAAGTACGTAATAATTTATAAGTATCATTAGTTCATTATTACAATTGAAAAATTCATGTAACTCCAAAATTCTAAATTACCTAATACGACATTGTATTTTCCAATAAAAAATATACTACAATATTATTTATACGCTTCGAGAAATGCATGGAAACAACAGGTGATAGAATTAAAACTTTAAACTTGTAAAATGGGATGAATTTCAAGCTTAGTGTGTTGTAGAAAACATCTATGTGCTTAATTTAGAGGAAACCGACTCATGGGTAAGGTCTAAACGCCCTCTAGTGGCTGGGTGGATGTTAGCGCTACACGAACTCTATAGGTATTCATCATTTACGTATAACAAGATGGCGTAAGTATCTACTTCATTTGTTGTGGGTCACGTGATATATACAGCTCTATCTTACTCTCTTTAAAATTGCAACCTCAGTTTCAATTAACCAATCATTAATTTATAATTAAATGTCTATTATTTGAAAGATTTAATCATTAATTATTACAGGAACCATTTGTCAGCACTAATGATAATTACAGCACAATTTTGTAACTTAACCATTATTCATTTATGTATGTATTAACGCGGAAGATCATATACATTACAAAGTAAATGTAAACTTATATCTAATTTAGAATTTGAGGTTGCAATAATGGTGCTAATAGTACGAGGGATACTAGGCAAGCATAAGTTTGGTAAAGTCCGCAGACTAGCTTGGTGGTTGGCGGCATCGGCGACGTGTGTAACAAACAAATCAGAGTATTGGTGTAAGTTGCGCACTGCTTGGTGGACTGTTAATGCGTTGAGACCTGGTGAGTGTTCATCTTGTTTTTAATTACATAACTACCCACATTTGTTCGTCTATGTGCCGTATGAAGTCACGGGCATGAAAATATTTAGCTGGTATTAAAAAAAAGAAAACAGTTTTCTTAAATATACAAACTGGTATTTTTTTTAATATTATGTATTTTCTCTTCTATTTCATATCTTAAATAATTACTATATTTATAGTTAGATTTTAATATGCATATAATAATATATTATCAAAAATGTATGCTTACATATACTTAACATCTTAACAGAAGCAATTCGCTTTTTAACTATTAATTGACCATTTAATTATTAAATTTATTTGTGATACTACATTATCATTAATTACTTCCTATAATATGTTTACCGATTAAAATTATTTGTAAATAACATCTTATCCATAACTTCCTGGAAACATATAGTTTATTATTACTATATTACATTCTTATGAATTGATGTTTGACATCAGACGTATTAATAGTAATATACATATATATATATGTATATATTTGCCAGTTTGTATATCTTTTTTTTAATTTTCTAAAGAATCAGCTAAACATTTTTATAATCACTTTCAAAATACATTTACACTGTGTAATAATAGGGGCTCTTAAACAAGTAACGGGCACATTATAACGGGTTGTTAAACTTATAATGGTATAAAATCTGGTATTCATGTACTTACTTCAATATTAGATATATACTTACATAATTGGAGAGCATTTGTAGGGCTGTGCCAAATATATGCACATACCTTTACAAAACGTAAACTTGTAATGTGACTAACAAAAATCGCATGACTCGTAATTTTGTTTAATCGAACAAATACATATTATAGTATATTATATATATATATATATATATTTTAAACACGATGTACAAATTGGGATTTAACTGCTATATAATTAGGGTGCTAGTAAATCTGCATTTCCTTCTATTATGATATAGTGTTAGATGGATTATGACAGCGTATGTGTAGGATAGGAATTTTGTTTAGCAAATGTTATATTTACATACGAAAAATATATTATAAATTGTAATTAATAACAAGATTTTCGACAACATTTCACTGAGAATTTAATTATAAAAATGTCTACAGAATTTAATGATTCGTTCAAGTTGATTGAACTTTAAACTACCGTAACAAATTTTATAATGAATTAATTAATGATGAATCATTAATTAATTCATAGTAATCATTAATTTATAACTTTGTGTCTTAAGAAATTTTAACTAATCATGCGTTTTATGGCAGGTCCGTTGACGTATTATTACCCGCCTATGGGACCAACCCTGCCGCCGCCCCCGCTTGTGTACTGGGGGTATCCGACACCACCCGTGTCCCCGGCGCATTACTACCACCAACCTCATCACCCCCAGACGATGGTAAGGTCTTTTGACAACAGGTTAAAAAACATATTTTGTTATAATAAAATATGTTTTTTCTCGATTGATATTTACATACAAATTTATATCTAGGTATAGAGCTGAATCTAGCTGTAGAGATTTCGAAGTATATCCTCTAAGTTAATATAAAGATATAGATAGTGTCTCGTTGGTTCCACAAGGTTCCCCCTGGAAACCATAATGATAAATTTTAATAAATATTAAACACTAATGTAAATAAATTAAATAAACATATATATATTTCTTACAGATGTCGGAAGTAGTGTCTGTAGGTGCCGGCTCGCCCCTGCCCATCCCTCCCCCGACCGCTTGCCCAGAATGGCCTATTTTTATAGTAAACTAATATTTATTTACCTAAACACAATTAATATATGTACCTACTGGGTTAAAGTTGGCGGTTGTATTTAAAAATATCGTTATCTTTTGAAGTAAATATTAAAATGTTAATTTTATTTTATATCTCTATATTTCACTTTTATTTATATTAGTGTTAGTTATCAAAGAATATATGAAAATTACTCTAGTTTCTTAGCTAAATCTATTTCTATTTAATTGTCTAATATATCGTAATAAATCTTATTCTTTTCTTAATTTATTTATTATATTTAATTGTCTAATTTATTATTATTATTTAGACGAATTATTTCCGCCAACTTATAACTCACAAAATTAATTATAATATTAAAATATATTAGTGTATAACCATTTAAAAAAACAAATAAATGGCTCAAAAAGATAGTGATATTATAAGATATAATAACATTGTATCTGAATAGACTTTATTATTAAATTATATAAAATAATATTTATTAATTAGGTTTTATTTAATAGAAACTGAGAAATATTATTCAGCTTGCTGTGTAAGAAGCGCTTTTACAACTAAGCAATAAAATACATTAATATAAATATTGTTGATATTTCATATAGTTTGAATTTGTTTACAATAAATTGTATTGGATTTGTTTACATTTTTATGACTTTGACAAACTTTGTTTATTATTATAAACATCATTAGTTTAAATATTTTTTTATATTGTATACTATTTAGATGTGTTAGAATTAGAGATATTTCTATTTCTATTCCGAATTAATTGTATCAGAATTATAAATATTTTATGAGTAGCAACACTGACAATTTATTATATTTTTCTATTTATTAAAAAAATACATTAGGCACGATTGTCAAGAGGTATTATGTATACTAGAGGACACATTTATGTCCTATAATAACAGCAATAAATTGCGGCGTCAGAACTGCAATTTGTTATGTGAAAAATAGTATTATTTTTTGTCATATATGAATACATAATACCTAAATGAGCATGGTCAATCAAATGAACGGTAACATGGTCTGTCTCACTGGGACGGTACTACTGCAAAATCATGAGTCTATTTCGCTATTTAATCATATCTCAGATTTCAGATCAGAACCGAATGTATTTAAACACAGTGATATATAGGTGCTGTTTGTTAATTAATTTTGTAGAAATTGAACCAAAAATGATAATTATATTAACAAGTTATGCTTTGTCACTTATTGCCTAGTTAATACATAAGAGAACGCTCAATTAGTTGTTAAATGTAGAACATAAAATTGTTTTAACATTAAAGTATGACTATGCCATAATGTGTAAGGATGCCGCAGGAGTGCAATGTTACTGAATGATAATAATTTTATTTGCTCATTAATGTAATTATAAACATCTCGCTGACTGTAAATAAGGCCAAATGATTGATAGAGGTCAGTAGTAAATTGTTGATATGAATATAAACTTAATTAGAGTCATTCAGCGTTTGGTTTAGAGAATGCTACGGCTCAATATAGAATTATAAATAATAATATTATTTTTTTATATTTTTTTATATATTTATCATAATTATAGTAGACAAAACGATGCGAACGCAATGATGACCAATGTCAACGATAAAACAACAGGGTATTTTTATAATTAATATGTACTGCCTACTATTAAAGTTGCTTTTACATTGAAATTATTACAGCTACAATTTTTCAAATAATTAAATTGTAATACATCTTGCTCTATTTTTATAAAATTCGCAAAGAACTTGGGCATATTTCCCCTGAACGTTGACATGTAACACAATACTAAATAACATAATTTTTAAACTATCATTTTGCCTTCGCTGTCGAAGTTATCTCCTTAAAATATATGAATTCTGTTCAACACAGTATTCCCCTTCGTTTAGTCGAGCGCTCGTTACTCTATTGCGCAATACACGTAACATATTCTTAGCGTGTACTCTAATGGAATATTAGTACATAATACATCAATGAGTAGAGAGGGTGCTATCTACAAATTTTGTAGTTTAACAATTTACCTATCGAAATATTAACCCTAGGAATCTTCTGCAATCTATAGGGTTCCGTTCGTATAATTTGATGTAAATATTAATGGGTATATTTATTATGGATATTCTTGATTCCTATGAACATGCCCTACAGCTTTTACAGGTATAGACATTTACTTAGTGTTAATTAAAAATATCTATCAGTTGCTCTTCGTTTTCTACTTATATTTTGTTTTATATTTTTTTATAGTTAAGTTTTTATTTTATAATTTTTATTTCATAATACTTTAGCTATTAAGTACGATGAAACAACAAAATCAAATGTCTTCCATATGACTGTAATATAAAATTGTTTTAAAGTAAGTTTAACGTCACAATTACTCGTGATTGGACTTGAAAATAGTAATATTACGATATTATAGATGTATAATGATATACTTATTATAAATAGAAAGTTATTTCCTATTGAATTAAAATTTATTTATGCTTTTAGGTCGACATGCTACGTTTTGTCTATATCTTTTTATAACTTTTAATCTAATCTTTGCTTCTAGTGGTAGGTATAAATAAGTATTTACTACCATAGACTATTTTAAGCATTTATCTACTGACATGCATGTAAGAAGCACGTTACAGTACTACCATAGACAAGACCTGCATGTCAGTACGTGACTGTCAAAATAGTCTGTAAGAAGTTTGTTACAGGATAAGATCAAATTAGTATAGCATGACGACCAAAAACAAAAAAAGTTCTATATTAACAAATAAATGAAATCCTAATATTGTTATATAAATACTTATAAGTTTATTATATTAAACCATGACAATGTTCATTTGAAACTCACGCACAATTTGATAATACTATGTGAATTCTGTAATCGTATTCACTATCAAAATACTAACGAAAAAAGAATTTATTAAGATTTATTTTGTTAATAATTATATAAATTATATAGAAAATAGGTCCATATAAATGCTAGATTGTAAACATATTATCATATACCTCTTGGTAACAAGGAACTCAAATTTGTTGCTGTAGATTTCTTAGAGCAAGCAAAGTTTAGCATATTTTTTTTTTGGTGCCTGTTCATAATCTTGCCGCATATCCAATTGTCCGAGAACCGGATATCATAGGTACCTATATTATTAAATCAAAAGTAAGTCTTTCTCTTTGTCCCGCATATTTTTTTTTAATAAATTTAATATTGTTAAAATACCTAATATTGTTAAAAAATTATAATTTATTACAAAAATGTTTAAATTCGATCAATGTTCCATTTAATGGAAAATATAATATATTCTTGTTAATTTATGTACGAGTTAATTAAATGAATTTTTTTGTTACTTTTGTACTTTATCTATGTATATTGTTTTCACAGTGATATTTTATAATGAAAGTGATCTTGATTGTAAAATTGTTACCTATATTTCTATAGTTTCTTTAAAGGTCTATTGAAATATTTTGCGGTAATTTTGAAATATCGGGTAAACTGTGCTATCATAGACAAAAATATCTCAAATTAGGTAATTCATTTGATATTGTATTAATAGACAACGAAGGTTATAAACGGTTCCCGATTCAAAATTACCCGCGTTGAAAGTAATATAAATGATAAATAAATATAGTCGTAGCAAGTATATATGTTTTATAATATATTAGTGTAGGTATAGTCAATTAGAATGTGCAATTTTAGAATATATACATGTTCCAACGTTTAATGCCAAAACATTTTGGTTTTATCACGCATACAAAGTAGTGAATTGTTCCGATGAATAAATACGTTAGATAATATTGTAGTTTTTAATTTAAAACCTATAGACAATGGGGGCCAACCATAAATTACATTACACGTTGATCGGTAGGGAGAGCGAAGAAAGTTTTTAAGATTTTTAACATTTCAAAATATCACCGTTGCGTTATCACTTTGCGAAGGCTAAAAAATAATAAATTTAGTGTTACGTAATTTCTAAATAGATCATAACAGCATATCCTTTTATATTATCTGGACATTGTTAACACTTCTGGTTTTTCAACAAGTGCTGTACAAGATGGCGGCCTATGAACAGTGACTCGGACAAAAAAGCCATTATAGGAGCAGCCCGCGATTGGGACGGAGAAGTCTTGCGCTACATTATGTTTCTAATATAATAATTACAGTAGAATTTATTCTTTAGATTGTTAGCCATCCTTACCAAAAATATTATTAATACGAAAGTAACTCGCTTTCACGCTAGAACTACTGAACCGATTAAAATGAAATTTAGTACACAGATAATTTAGACCCTGAAAAAGGACATAGGCTACTTTTAAATGAGAAAAAAGGGTTGTAAGGATTTGAAAGGGGAAATGAAAATTTGTATGGACTAACGTCATTTATTCAATATTCTATTTTTTGTCTTTTTTGGGTTAGATTATGAATAATCCAATACAAAACATTGAAATGTTTTTTCTTGATTTAATCCAGGTCACTACAACACGAGGACGAAGTTGCGGGGACAACCAGTTATGTAATAAAAGTTAAACAACAATGATATATTATTATGATAATTTCCATTTATTTCGTCATATCATCACATTTACATGATGTTCACTGCTTATGAGAGAAAAATCTTTGAAACTGATTTATAGTTCCTACTTAAAAACATATAATAAATTCAGCTGTTATATTTTTGCATCGTCATAAAAAAATTTAGTACTAAGTTGAGAGTACATTTTCAAAGATTTTCTTCTTATTTACAAAACCAGGCTTCTTTTTAGTATACCTGGCTAGCACGTCTCCTTACAACCTGCATCAGTATAACACATAGAGGATGGAAATCTTAATTTACATTTTAACTAACAAATTCTTTTGACCACTCTCAAACGATATCAAAACTGTATTATTTGCTGGCACACTGAAAAAAAGAGGCTCGATACATTTATATTGTTACAGAGTAATACACATCATGTAAATTAATCCACCGCGATATTGCAGAAAATATTACAAATACAACTTAATACTATACCTATCTAGAAAATTATCACTAAATTAATCTTGTTTTATTTACATTTTTAATATCGTTTGATAGAATTATTAGATAGTAGAGGCATGACGTGGCATCATACAGAATCACTGCCTGACCACAGCCCCGGATCGAGAGGGGGGCAACACGGGGCCCATATCCCGGGTGGCAATTTCTGGGGACGCTAAATTCGAACCTAGCAGATGAAACGCACCTTTGACAACCACTGAAACGTAATGTAAATTTTTTATCGCAGAGCGCATACTTTTTTCATACTATGACTTAGTAACATAAAACAATATAAATTTCATAGCAATTCTTATCGACATATTGTATGTAAAATATATATTTTAATTAAGTTATTGCCCCGCCTCAAAAAAAAAATGGAAGATCCGGGTCTGCCTGACCATCACACGTTAAGTGGACGACCATATACCACAAATTATTATATTCACATTTGGGACTGTGTAATATAACGACAATAAATCTATAACTGTACATAATATACGGAAAGACATACAAGTCATATGAAAAACTTTTTGTACCAAAATGCTACTCCTATAGCAGACGATTATGATAGTTAAATGCATATCCCGTGGTACTAAATCGGTATCTATCGGTTTAGTACACCTTACTTCCGATGGTCTCGGGTTCGATTCCTCGCACGGCACAAACATTTATACAAATGTATCGGTCTGGGTGTTTTCTATATACAATATGTGTGTATTTAAAAAAAAATCTATATATTTGTATCAGTTGTCTAGTACCCATAATACAAGCTTTAGCTAGCTTAACTTGGGTCTGGATGGCACTGTGTGAATTGTCCTGAGATCATTATTATTAAAACTATAAAATTTACTGGCATTCCTTTAATCAAAATAAAAACAAAACTAATACCACGAGACTTGCAGTTACCATCTTTCGTACAAATGCATCTATTGATCAAATATCATATTTAAATTGTAGGTAACAGCGAATTTATAAAATGATTTGTTAAATTAATTACGTATTTTTTTCATACATCTACTTATAAATTATTTTGATCGCATTTTTTTTTGCAGAAACTAATATATACATGATAGAACACTCATCTAAACAGACAAAATTCGCTGTTGAAGATTTTAAGTACAGTCAAGCTATCTTTCTTAAATGCAATTACTCAATCCCAAAATAGTAAACAAAAACTGATGAAAACTGTGGAGAAATATTTACAAATGTTTACAATAAACGTGTGACAGACAGCCGACAAGACTCGTCTAAGAACGATACAAAGCTGGCAGGATTTTGTTCGATAACATTAAAGCAAAATTCGGATTTAGACACTACAGTTATCTAATACTTAAATTAAAAAAAAAGCATTAAAAAGTCGGTATAAATCCACACTTAAGACCGTCACAACCACCTAGTCTGATCACAGCTTTACTTACCACAATGTACTCTAACTACGCGTTTTATATAATTACATATAATTATACATATATATAAAGGAGGTTTCCAAATAACTAATTAACTTTCAAATTTAAAAAAGTCACTTTTCATGTAAAAAAACTAACTAACTTTTGAATTAAGAAAAAATCACTTATCAATTTGCATGTAAAAAAAAATTAAATAAAAAAATATATATGCGATTACTGTAATTTTGTCATGTCTTACATCAAAAAAAACCTTCCAAAAATAAACAATCTACAAAAATGTCTTTGTAGCATAAATAACACAAATATATGCAAAAATTACCACAAAATCTATCAGACGTTTCCGATAAGTTTCAGCTATCGTTTATATGGTATATTTAAAACAATTTATACTACGTAAATAAATTTATACCACACAATTTGTACCTAATTACCACGTGTACTTATATAAACAAAAATATCACACATATGTATTGGAAACCACCAAACTGAACTATATAAAGAGGTTTTAGCAAATCAATATTAACTAGGTCTATTACCAGTGTGTTGTTTATTCACCAGGTCACATGTTGATGAGCGGAGCGCGTTTTTTTTTTTTTTAAATTCAAATTATTTTCAGTAGCGCGTGAATTTTACTGCCACGCTGAGTGTATGGCAACCTTTATCACTGACCATTCCTCAAGGACATGACCGATCGGAGTTTTTTGATTGGTAAACGAGGCTCGATGGTCGTCGATGAAATTTTGGTCTCGATGGGTCGAGCCGTTTCAGAGGACTATCGTTGCAAAGAGTGCAAATCTCTAAGTTCTCTAAGATGACTCCGCGCTTCGCGCTACGCTCAAAAATGTAATTGGAAGGTAATTAAAATACTACTCAAGTTTGAACTACTTGTTAAATGTCATTGATGCGTATGTAAACCTTTTATAATATTAATAAAATGTATTTGTGTTTTCTTCTAAAGAAAATATATTGTCATACACTTATATTGTGGAAAAAGTTATATTTTGACACTTCAAGGAGTCTTTTAAGCTGTGGTTGGGCTGTTCTGTTATCTTATTCTTAATAATATTATAAATGCGAAAGTTTGTAAGTATGGATGTTTGTTACTCTTTCACGCAAAACCTACTGAACGGATGTTGATGAAACTACAGTAATACAGTTTATGCA